TTGGGTCTAGAGGAAAAAACTGTGGGCTCGGACCGATTACAGAACCCTGCTGATACCATCAGAAATGTGAGACTCTTTGTATGAGCTGCTGCGGTCCCTAGTGAAGGAGGAGACATGGAACCTGGCCCTGGGCTGCTCGTGTAGACAGGGACTCTTAGCAGGGCGCCTGAGTCATCTGTGTGCGCTCCCGCAGCTGGCTGGGCTGGGACAATTTGACAGGTTGGCTAATGCGCATTTGGGCCAGATACTAGCCTACATAAAACAGAGCATTAAGGCCTCATACTCTTTGGCATTATGTAGAGGCTGGGATTCCAAGTTTATGAAGGCAAGGATGCCAGACTGGGTGGACTTTATGCCTCCTGCCCACAAATGCCTCCAACCACAGGCCCCAGAAAATCCAGAACATTCTTCTTGCCCTTGCTTTGAGGAAAATCTAGATTCGAAGTGATGGGTGAGGGGCTATAGATGAAAGGAACTCCCTGATCTCAAGGGGAGAAGAATCCAGAGGTAGGAACATTTAGAAATGTTGTGGGAAGGGTTAGCCATCAAAATATTCAGCAGATTCTGAATGAAGCAAGATTTCATGGGGCAGGACTGCAACGGATTGATGTGAGAGTGATTTATGCCTCCTGCCCACATCCAAATTAAACACTGCATTAAAACAGAAAGATCTGCAGTCCAAAGCCACCAGCTTCTCCAGGAGAGAGTTGGGCAACAGCCTTGAATCCCTTTCGAGGGTTTCTTTTTTTTTTTTTTAAATTTTATTATTTTTGTGTGCGTGTACCGTCAAATCAGATCTGACTGGTACAGGAGGAGATTGCCCCTCCTTCTCCAGCAGAGCATCTGGTGAATTTGAACCACACACCTCTGGGATTGCAGTGCAGCTTCCTGCCACTAGGCCACCAGTGCTCCCTTAATGTATTTCTTATTGACTGAGTTAGTGGTTGACCATGAAACTGTTAGGCTGTTGTGTTGGCTGTAGTGCTGGAGTCCATGCCACTGGCACTTCAGATACCAGCTAGGCTGCCCATGTTGCACAGGTTTCCATGAAGCTTCCAGACTCACAGTCTAGAAAGCGAGTGAAAATTGGCCCGGGTAAACCTGAGGAATCACAATGGCACGCTGGCGGGCGTTGTATGAGAGAAGAGCCCGTATGTAGGTTGGAAGGCACTGAAGATACACCGAGGCTCCTTCAGAGAACATGGGCCTTCCAGCCCTGTGAGGATGGGTTAGGACAGGACGCTGTGCTGTTCCTCTGTCCAGAGGCTGGCATGAGCTGGAGCTAAGCTGACAGCAACTAACAAATCAGGACAAATACATCAAGCTGATTAGCACTGAGAACTCTGCCAGGAGTAGATGACTCTGGAGAAGCGTCTGGATGTGCCAGTCATTTGAGGGAATTGTCACTGTCCAACCGTCGCATCAGGCTTGGTCTGACCCCACTGTCCTCTCCTTCCCTTCCCCCTCCCCGTATTTCTGGACTGTCCACTAATCTGGGCTTTATTATGACAGTGCTCTCCACTTCTCTTCCAGCTAAAGAGTTGGACCGTGGAAGACCTTCAGAAGAGGCTGCTGGCCCTGGACCCCATGATGGAGCAGGAGATTGAAGAGATCCGGCAGAAGTACCAGTCCAAGCGGCAGCCGATCCTCGACGCCATTGAGGCCAAGAAGCGGCGGCAGCAGAACTTCTGAGCACGCGGGGCCCAGTCCTGCCTGCACACCAGGCCGCTGTGGACGCTCTCTGACTGTCGCTGCTCACGGCTATCGGCCAGCAGCTCTCCTCTGTCACTTCTCCACAGCCCGTGTGTGAACTCAGGAAAGTGCGCCAGCAGGGAGGGCCACCTTGGCAGTCAGCGTCTTGACGTGTGTCTTCCCGTGGGTCGGGTATGATTTCCGAGGGTTTCAACTGGCGCTTTTAAACTCAGAGTTTCAAACCCCGGGGCCAGAGCCTCCTAAGCTGACTGACAGCTGGGCAAGGTGGCATTTTGTGTGTTTTTTAAATCTCTCAATAGCTTTCAATTGTTCTTTCTGGAAGACTTTTTAAAATGATATAAATATGCATATATGTTTGTAAATTATAAAGATTCCCCACGCAGCGTGGTGGCATCTCTGTACAGGTACAGTTTGAAACAGTTTGCCTCTTTGCTGTAAGATTATGGTACTGTGTGTGGAACCCGAGGACAGTAGGTGTGGGGAAGCTGCTGGGACAGGAGGCTCCCGGGAGCAGGCTTCCCCTTGCAGGTCTGCATTTACTAATTCAGTTTGAGCTGGTTCCCTCTCTGTGGCTTCAGGCCATGAGGGTCGTTGCTGGTTCAGGAGACGTCAGTGATGGCCGGGAGGAGGCCCCGAGCGTGCACATTTCCCCTGCTAAGTTCCAGGAAAGCTTGGCACCCTTTTTGCAAATTGACCTCCTCTCTATCAACTCTTTGTCGTCCACGTCCACTCTCCCAGCTGCCTAAAGTCACAGCACAGATCCTGCACAGTGCCTTAAGAGGAGACACGATCCAGTGAGGGGACAGGCCTACAGGAACCTCCCCAAGAGGGGAAGGGTTCTCGAAGCTCTCATCATTCGTGTGAAGACCTCACACTCTGCATTTCGCTCTGTGTTCCTTATGGAGGGGTAGCTGGTATTCACTGCTTCGCTCGTCCATGCTCAAAACATGTGACTGTTTTCTTCTTCATTTTACTGAGAGTATAGATGAAAAATGCGATTTCTCCGGGAGGATCCACCCAGGCAGGCAGGATGCCACGGCCGGAAGTGACCATGATCATCCGGCCCGACTCTCTTGCTGTATAGATGGGAAAGCTGGGGCTTAGAGAAGGGAGCGATGTGGCTCAAATTACAGAGCGAGTTAGGAAAGGACTGGAGCTAGAACTCGGGGACTCCTCACGCCGAGAGGCCAAGCCAAGCAGCCTCTTCTCTGAGGGAGCAGACTGGGTAGTTTGGATTAAGCTGCCCCAGAGGACTCTCCTTAGCTAACTTGTTCTTGCCTTGCTTCTTAAGTGGAGATGTGCCAAGGGGCGTCAGACTGTTCCATGTCAGCAGGTCTGGGAGTCCCACAGCATCAGCCAGACAGCAACCCAGCCTCCACGCAGACAGACCGGGAGCGTGAAGAGGCCGAGAGACCTTCCCAAGACCTCAGTTCACGATTTAGCTCAGTCACCAGCAGAGTGGACAGTTGGAAAAGACGAGTGTCTTTTTTTACTTTAATTTATTTCCTAATCTCTCTTCTGTTCACGTAGAAGAGCTGTGACTAGGTTGCATCTAAGGATCCTGTCATTTGACACCCTATAACTGCTTCTGCTTTTCCAAAGCTGGGCATCTGTAGATGGGCGGGGGAAGCTCCGCTCCTGTGATCAGGTTCCACTCTCTGCCTTTCAAGCAAGTTTTTGAAGAATGCGAGAAGACAGTTCCTGGCCTCCAGGGCTTGGCCAGTGAAGCATCTGTGTGGCAGATGGAGAGCTCCTGGTCAGATCACAAATGGCAGCTGGCATTTGTTGACCACTTGCCAGGCGCCAGGAAGCTCTGTACACTCGCCAGCCCCAGGTGCTCTGCAATCCTGAGAGTCAGGTACTTCATCCCCTTTTCATAGATGAAGAAATGAGTTCAGAGAAACTTTCTTTCTCAAGAAATGACAGCCAGCAGAATCAGGATTCATAGCCTCACCATATGGGGCCAGTATTTACAGGGAAAAGGAAAGTCACACATCTGCTTAAAATAAAAACTGACCACCTTTTCCTGCAGAGATGGCAATTTTAGGGTGGGGGAAAATCTAAAATTAGTAGTTAGGTCTGTCAGCCAAGTGAGTTTTAAAAACCAAAGTATCAAGCGTGTATCCCCCGGCCATCTGCTGTTCTAATGACCAGGCCTGCCTCAGTCTCTTTTTTTTAAAACAAAGGACTTTGCACTTGGCCAGACGGGAAGGGAATACCCACCTTCCCTTTCCTAGGCCAGATCCAAATAAGAGAAGGTTCACTTCTCCTCATAAATACTCTTGAGTCATGAACCTTCATCTGTAGTTTATTTTGCTTCCAGCCTGTGTGTCCACCCACATACTTTTCCAGTGAAATACATTTGCTCACCTGTCTGGCTGGATTGAGCCCTCTGGTCAGAGCCTATTTATTTGGGATCCGAGACATTCCCTGACAAGGTATATTTGTTTCTGGTGGCAGAAGGGCAGAGGAACAAGTCTTAGTTACTTCTGCCTTAAGCACTTAGGATTCAGACTTCCAGAGAACTCTGAGCCCCTCACTTGTTTTTGCCCACACTAATGGCATTTTTAAAAATATTTCCAATTCTCTAAGAGTATCTTAATTGCTTCCCCATCAATAGTTGCAAAGCAGATTTTTCTTTTTTTTCCTCTCTTGTACCTTCCTCCAATTGGCAATCAAATGGATGGAGGGGTGGGCAGGTGGGTTGATGTTTGGCTTTGTAAATGGATGGAGGATGGATGGACAGACAGACAGACAAACAGGTAGATAGAACCAGCCAGTCTGAAATAATTTAAGAACCATAGCTTTGACTCCTTGAGTCTATAGACTCTGATCCAGGAAACACTGAACATATACCAGTTGCCAAAAATATACCACTTAAAACTCAATGGCTGTTAACCAATAAGAAGAATGAGAAGTAACATCACTTTATTATTTTTTTTTTGTAACATCACTTTAGATCACGCAGATATTGAAAGGATAATCACAGGATATTAGGAACTATTTTCTGCCAGTGTAGCCCACAATTTAAGTGAGAAGGACACTCCTTGAAAGATAGGAAGTATCAAAGTTAACTCAAGAAATAGCCTTGTATCTATTAAATCTTAGTTCTGGGAGATACTTATTATTACCCTCATTTGACAGATGAGGAAACTGAGGCTCAGAAAGGTAACGCTTGTGGCTCCAGGACCATGCAGCTAGAAGGTGGCAGAATGAGGACTCAGCTCCAGGTCTTCTGATTCTTACTCTGGTGTCCTTTCTGGCAAACCATGTTGCCTCTAAAGATTGCAGTTCTTTATTTAGAACCTTGTTCTTGTCTCGTCATTTCTCCCTACCCCATACTTTCTTAATCACTGTGTGTGCGCGTTCATCAGGATTATAGTCATAGTCCTTGGAATCCAGAATCTTGTTTCTATTTTGGAAAAACACCTCTTCTACCAGCTTGTACTTGGACCAATTTGGGGTCGGGGGTGGGTGGGGAGAGCTTAAATGCTGTTGATGTACAATTTTAAAATGTGAAGTTTGTAGCTTTAACTTTTTTGTAACAGAAACTAACACTGGCTTAAGTGCTACTTGAAATGCTGTTTTGTAAGGTCTGGATGTATATGATCAGCCGAGGTCAGCAGTTCGTGGATGTATGAGATCTAGCTCCCCCCATTGTCCCCCCCTTTTTTAAAAATTCGAGGCACTTATGTGCTTCTATGTTAAGAATTATTTTTCTCCCCTTTCTTATTCTTATATCTCTCCATCTTTGTTTTAAATAAACTGCCCTTTGGAATACAGACTGTCCCTCTCTTTTGAAAAAAATGTTATTGTATACTGTCAAGTCGAAGCCAATTCAGAGCTGACTTTCCCCCAGGTTTTCAGAGGCAGTAAACCTCACGGGAGGAGGCTGACCATCTTCTTCCCACTGAGCAGGTGGATTTGAACCACATACCTTTGTGCTGGCAACACAACATCACTAAGTCTCCAGATTCTCCGTGTGTATCCTGGACAATGGTGGTGTCAGCCTTTGTGCTATGAAGTCTATGTTGTGTTTATTCCAGAACCCTAATGGGGCAGGGGAGTGCTCATCTGCTCTGTGTCAGGTACTAAAACCATTGCCAGGGGCATAAAGATGGCGCAGATGAGAGTTCCTGCACACGGGTTGGAGGTCAGTCAAGCACTAAGCTCTAGCACAACATAGGAACTTCCCGGGTTGAAGGAAGCACAGAGAGGGGGAGACAGCTGATTCAGCTGGGTGTCCTGGGAAGCTTTTCTCAAACTGGAAACAAATTTGGGAACTGGGTCAAGATTTGGCCTGGTGGGATGAGGGAGAGAAGGCATCCCGGATGGAGAGGCCAGCCCATACAGAGAACCTGGATATGGGATCACCTTGGAATCCTTCATTCCAGTCTGCTGGTGCATGGAGCCAGGCCAGGCACAGCCCAGCATTCAGAGAGAAGCATCCCAGTGCTGCTGTCCTTGGGTGGCCCACCCTTCTTCAGGAAGCTGACCCCATAGCGGGGAGGGTGCAGAGTTACACTGGAAAGTATGCAGAGGTCTCTGGAGTGAAACTTCTAGTGCTGAATGGTTCCGCTGTCTGCATATCTAGGACATACCTTCCTTCCCGTCTTAGACTCTCAGTCCGACCCTGACTTTCACAGGGTGGTGCAGTACTGCCCGAGCGAGAGGAGGTGTCCAGGAGTAGTGTGGTATAGGGATGTCTTCAGTTGTGACACCGACTGGGCATTTCATGGGCATGGGCAGGGATGCATTCCAGAACAGTCCAGCTCAGCAAGAAACTGACCTGCACTTGGCATAACATCTGAACGTCCCACCCAGCATTTGCATCAGGGAGAAACTTGTTTATAGATACCTGGTGTAAACCAGCCCTCATTTGCATCTGAACACACAGTACTCAGTGCAAGATGTAACTTGATTTTCCAGGAAGGAACGACGCAGAAATGCAGACACTTGTAGCTTGTGTTGTTGGGAACTGTACCAACAGTGCCCCCTGATGAGGAAATTCACATCGCTGACGGCAGTGATGGGTACGATATTTGAGTCACTAGTGAAGTATTAACTGGTGAAAATCAAAGAATATCGCCTTCCACATAAAATGTTGTTATGCACCATCAAGCTGGAACTGACACAGAGCTGACCTTCCGGCGGGTTTTCAGAGTCTTTCAGTCTCCTGGGAGGACACTGCCCATCTTTATCCAGCAGACCAGCTAGGGGATTCAAACCATCTGCCTCTGGGTTGGCAGCATTACTCCTTACCCACTAGGCCACCAAAAGTCCTTCAGCATGATTCTACCTCATTATTAAGAAAGCAAAAATCTTCACAGCTAGGCTAATTTCTTCCCATGACAAACAGAAACTACTGACATTGCCAATGATTTCATTTCCCCTGGATTCA